AATCTTAAAGGTCTAAGGCAAAGAATTTTGAATCTTAAAGGTCTTACATACGTGTTTCTTTTCAACCATAGTCTATCCAATTGAATTATCAATCTAAATCACATGGACTCTTGTTTAGAGTTTTTTTTTTTGGTACTATATAAAACATTAAAGTTTATGTTTTCTTTTATAAACTTAACCGGGTTGTATTGCATTTTGTTATATTCTTCTAGTAACAAAGAAAGTCTATTATAATATCTATTAAATATTAAAAATAATTTAGAGGTGTCCTTCCATTCTCTCTTATTTATCTGCTATAATGTCTATTAAATATTTAAAAAAATTAAGAGTTGTTCTTCCACTCTCTCTTATTTGTCTGTAAATTTTATTTTTAAATGTTGAAACTTAAATATTTCATACTTAAGTAGTATAAATTAATTTTATATATTAATTAACAATAATATTTAATGTTTATACATTAACTTAATAATATATAATACCTCTTTAATAACACATTAATATTTTATTTTGTCACAAAGTTTTAATTTCAAAATCTATGGAAGATTCATTCAGGAGAATTGGTTACATGAAACACAAATTCATAAATTAAAGTATTCCACTTTTCTTAAAAATATATCAATGATATTATAATTGTACTTTCATGTGTAAAATTTGATATTCATAATATATTTACTATAAATAATAAACAATATTTTTTACATATATTTCTACAAATTATATCCTTTATAATTTATTAAAATATTTTTTTTGCATATATTTCTACAAAATTTGGAAAATATTACTATAGAATATTATTAAGTTAATGTATATTTTGGCATTTTAATAGTTAATTTGATACAAATTTTAACTTACTTTACTCATCACATTAGAAATTATTTTGTAAAAAAAAATGTTTGTTCTGTAGAAAAATTTATCGACGAGCTGAGACTACTTAATATATATATATATATATATATATATATATATATATATATATATATATATATATATATATATATATATATATATATATATATATATATATATATATATATATATATATATATATATATATATATATATAATTTATTTATTATTTATATCGATATTATAAAATTCGTGCGAATACACAAATAGATGACTATTTAATTATATTTATTATTTTATTAAAATACATATTTTGTACCGATCAAACTACTTAATTTGTATACTTTAACAATTATTACAATTTCATAAATTAAATTAATATTTATATGAGAAGCATCATTGAAATATTTTTTCTATTAATTCTTATGTATTTATATAGATTTTTTAACCATAACTATATAATATTTATTTTATATTTATATCGACTTTGTGCAACCCGTGCAACAAGTCAGTATTACTGATCATATCACTTTAATTTTGATGGACATTGATGAAATGCAATCCCACGGTTGTGAAATTCTTAAAGGGAAAATGTCACGTAATGAGGTGTATCTTGAAAAGGGTTGGTATGAGTATGTAAATTCAACAAACTTAAATGTTGGAGATGTCTTGATTTTTCATTACCTACGTTAAGCATATGAGAAAGGACAGAATGAAGTATATAATAAGTGATGATTCCGATTAATTTTTCTTTGTCTCTAGGATGTTGCTATGTTGGTTTTAACATAATTTTTTTTATGCTTTTGCCGGTAGTTTTTATTTTATAAGGTCAACATCAATGTTTTAGTTCCAATCCTCATGTAATATAAGTTTAATCAATATCTATATTACATGTTCTACTTTCCATACCATATACAACATTACACGGCCTTTATGAACGCACGGGTCCTTTACCAGTTGTAACAAACTTAAAGCACACATAGCTAGATTGATGATGTTCTAAGTGCTTTGTCATCTTGTTGGCTGGATTCGAACGATCGTCGTGTATTTAGTGCATTTTTTGAAGGGTTAAATATATTTTTGGTCTCTATAAATATTTTAAATTTTATTTTTAGTCTCTATTAAAAAAATAACATATTTTAGTCCATACAAAACTTTTATTCATACAATTTTAATATCTGCTATTTTCTAAAATTTTGAAAACTGTTTAATTAGCTTAAATTTTTAAATTTTTGAATAATTTTTTCAATAGTGTTTAGACTACTATAAAATATTTATTTATCAAATTTTAGAATTTTTTAAATAAAAAAAATTAAATATGAATTTTTTAAATTTCAAAAGATATTGAGAAAAACAATGAAAATCCCGACTTAAAAAATCAAATTTTGATTTTTTTTTTCACGGAACTTTTTATAACGTTCTAAACATATCTGCAAAATAATCATTCAAAAATACATATCGACTAAACAACATAGACTAAAACTAGTAATTTTGTAAAGACTAAAACATACTAATTTTTTTTATAGAGACCAAAAATAAAATTTAATAATTTATATGGACCAAATATATATTTAACTCTTTTTGAATTAATCAAAATTTTGAATTAATAAAAAAAATAATAACCAAAAAGAATATTATTTATAGTTTTTTTTTTGGAAAATTAGCAATATATTAATCCAAAAACAATTACATCCCAAGCCGATCATAAGATCCAGGCATCCAAAAGACTAATTCAGTAATACATGTTCAAATCCCCATATTTCCCAATCTATGTAGAAAAACTCATTTTATACTTATCCAATCCCATCTTAATCTTTTCCTTAATGTCCCCCGCATCAAGGCTATCTTTGGTTTTCCCTTGGAAAATCATACAGTTTCGAACTGTCCATATGCTGTAAAGAGCTTCAGCAAAGGTGACCTTGATCCTCTTGCTAGCAATTGATTTGCCTTTTGTCCTTTGCACAAACCAATCAAGGTTCCATTTACCATTCGCAGGCTTCATTTGAACCGGTAACCAATCAAGCAATTTGTTCCACATATCCTCCGCATCATGGCATTCAAAGCATACATGGACAATACTCTCCTTATCCCCACAGAAAACACAGCAGCCATCTGTTATCACTCCATGCCTACTCAGTCTGTCTTTGGTCGGGAGACACCCAAGACAAACCATCCAAGCCACGAAAAGCGTTCTAGGTCTCGCTTTATTACCCAGGATTATGTTCCTCCAATTCACCTTCACCTTATCACCTCTTAGCATACTGTAAACCCATTTGGTACTATAGGACGGGGTTTGACAAAAATTATCCCATTTATCCAATTTCATCAGCATATCCCTATTTTTGAAAATAAATATTATTTATAGTTTTTAAAAATAAAATAATATAATAACAATGTAAATAAAATTAAAATTTATAATAATAAATAAATAAATTATTAAATCAAAATATGTCTTTTTAACATTCTTTTTTATTTATTTTATCACTTCAAAATTTGAATTCTCTATTTTGTTTGCTAATAATAATTATATTTAAATATAGTAATTTAATCAATAAAGATTCTCTTTTATTTAGACAATTTTTTTTTATATTTTCAATTAAGACATATTTTTAAATTAATACATTTAAAATTTACAAAATCACAAAAAGATTTGATCTTTTACAAATTAATAAGGAAAACTCATAAAGATATTCATCATATCATTATAGTGTATTAGTTAATATTTGAGGATTATTAAAATAAAATAAAAATAAAAATTTATTTTTATCTATGGTCAATTACCAACTCCTAGATGGTCTCATCCATTGATCTTTCATAATAAAAATTTATATGTTTTTAAATGATAAATCTGTATCATTAGATTTTGATTATGAGGTCTATATCACCTTGATAGTTTGAATGTGTCATTTCCTAACTGCAGAGAATTATGATCCCCTTATACGATGACTACATGATTGTAGTGACATTACAGGTCAACAGTGTTTCCGCTATACATGAAGCTTTGATTTGTGAGTGTCGTTAATCTTTATCATACTTATAGGAAATCGAGCTGTGATTCTTTTTATTAAGCTTAACATTAATTATTACTGAGTTAATTAAAGAATAGTTTTAAATTAATATTTTCTTAAAGAATAACTTATGAAAACAATATTAATTATTAATAAATTTAGTATTATTTTTATTAATGAAGATACTAGAAATATTGATACATAGTGTAGAAATAAATATTTTTGTGAGAGACACACCATTTATCTATCTAAAATCTTAAGGTAATAAGTCATTGAATTTTTTCACTTATATATATTTAAATTTTCACATTTGTATCTAATATAAGACTATTTCTCCACGTACTCATGCTTGTTATATTATTCTAACAATTTATTTACTCTTTATTATATATTTTTAATTATAAGATATTTTTTAAAACTTTATTTATTCTTTAATGATAATTTTCAATAATTTTTTTATAATATCATTTTTTTTAATAAATACGTGTGAAGGTCCGAGCTATGAGAATGTGCTTTTAAAATCTCATATTTAAATTTTGTCGGATGTTAATAATTTTTTATATTGGGTGATTCTCTGGAATTAGTTGATGGTAAATTTGGTTATTAGATTTAAAAATAAAATTAAAAATACTATTAATACTCTTAATTTTCGTACTTTTGCAAAGTATCATGTATTTTTCATATTTGAGATGTAGCGTGAAGAGATTGCATTTTCATACTCGAAAACTTTACATCACATTCACATGTATTAATGGACAGCAATAAATCAAATTGATTTTTCATAAACCCATACTTTTCTTTCACGCAAATTGGGAGCAATAAGTCTTCCATCTTCCGTCTGTAACATATAAATTTAATCTCCTTAATGTATTTTACTTTTATCAAAAAACTATGATTAATGTTTTACTTAAAATATTGTTTATATTTGTGTAGTCGTTAATTTTAATTATTCATTTTTTAAAAATATAAAACGCAAATTGCAGGTGTACTTGTTTAGCGCTCCCTCCAAAACGGTGACACACTTAAAGTCTTACACAGTTGACAAGTATCACTGGGAACGAAAACCCCAAAAAAAAAAATATTAAAAATAGTATAGTTTCTCTTTTTCTTTCCGATGTTCTTCTCTGCAATGTAGGTCATCGGAGAATGGCCAAGTGTCACCGGAGCAACGTTGATTCACTAGTTCTCGATCACCGCCACCATGCCAAAAACACCACGGCCGAAAACTTCTGCATCTCCGCCTCCTCGATCCGCCGCATCATTTTCGACGCCGTGAGCTGCGGCGGAACTTCCCGGCACCGACATCGCCACCGCGACGAAGTCCACGACGACAAAGAAAAGAAGCATGTTCAAGAAGAGAAGCATGAGAAGCTATTGGATCTCCTGAACAGGCCGGTGCATGCAACGGATGCGGAATTGAAGAAGAAGGAAGAGATGCTGTTAGAGCTGAAGCAAGTGGTGAAGGAATTGCGAGAAGAGGATTCGACTAAACGGCGAATGGCGGCGGCGAGAGTAAGGTTACTGACGAAAGATGATTCTGAAGCGAGAGGCTCACTCGCTATGCTCGGAGCAATTTCTCCACTCGTCGGAATGCTTGATTCAGAAGACGTTCATTCTCAGATTGATTCTCTTTACGCATTGCTCAATATCGGAATCGGCAGCGATGAGTGAGTTTTTCCCTCACTCAAAATGTGATTGCAAATTTGAAACTATTTATTGCCCTATGATCATGAATTTACCTTGTTAACAATTTGATGGTTTCATACATTTCTAATTCTGCAATTTTGTGTTTGATCTGCTTTACAGAAATAAGGCTGCGATTGTAAAAGTTGGTGCTGTTCATAAGATGCTGAAGCTAATTGAATCACCGCGTGTTGTTGATTCATCGGTTTCTGAGGCGATTGTTGTGAATTTCCTTGGATTGAGTGCTTTGGATTCTAACAAACCAATAATTGGATCCTCTGGTGCTATACCATTCCTTGTTAGAACCCTGCAAAATCTAGATAAAAGTAGTAAAAATTGTTTCCAAGTTAAGCAAGATGCTCTTCGGGCTCTTTACAATCTTTCGATCAATCAGGCCAACATTTTGTTCGTTTTGGAAACTGATTTGGTATTGTTTATGATAAACTCGATTGAAGATATGGAAGTGAGTGAGAGAATCCTTTCAATTCTAAGCAATTTGGTGTCAACTCCAGAAGGTAGAAAAGCTATCAGTGCTGTTAGGGATGGAATCACAGTTTTGGTTGATGTATTGAGTTGGACAGATTCACCTAAATGCCAAGAGAAAGCTTCATACATTTTGATGATCATGGCACACAAAGGCTATGCTGATAGGCAAACCATGATTGAGGCAGGGATTGTATCGGCATTGCTCGAGTTGACGCTTGTAGGTACCGCATTGGCGCAGAAAAGGGCGTCGAGGATATTGGAATGTTTTAGGGTAGACAAAGGGAAGCAGGTTTCTGGGAGATGTGATGGTGGAAACTTAAGCTTAACTGTCTCTGCGCCTATTTGTGCCTCGTCGTTTTCGACGGATGGAGGAGGTAAAGAGTATTTAATGGAGGAGGTGAACATGATGAGTGATGAAAAGAAAGCAGTGAAGCAATTAGTTCAGCAGAGTTTGCAGAACAACATGATGAAAATTGTCAAGAGGGCTAACTTGCGTCACGATTTCGTTCCTTCCGAGTGTTTTGCTTCACTCACATCGAGTTCGACATCAAAGAGCCTTCCATTTTAAAGAATTGCAGCTGCTGATGAACAGAGTTAAGTATATATATGAACCATGAAGTTATCCTCCACAGCATGATTACATTGATCTTTTGGTCTTGTAACTGTTTTACTAGAACAGTTGTAGTTTGTTAAACATTTACCGTGGGATTGTTGGGTGTAAAATCCTTTAATTTTGTTAGTTAAGTAATGCAATAAGTACCCATTAATTATTTATTTAATGCCACATGACCTAGTTCCATTAACAGGTAACAGATCTATTATATGGTAAAATGGATACATGGTTGAATTGAAACATGAAAAAAGAGTCAATTGACAATTACATTTTCTTCGTAGTACGTGCGGACAACCACAGCATGATGTTTGTGGGGTATACTTCTCACCCCATATGTAATGTTATCTTCTTCTAGGGGTTAACTTTAACTTTGTTGACTTTTGGTGTACATATTCTAATTTTAAATTATACTAATGTATTTAGGTTAGAGGGGGCAAATGGGCCTGCCTTTAATAGACATGGACTCATTTATTAGATATGGCCTGTTTAAAGGCGGGCATGTCCACTACTCTCTTTAAAAAAAAAATCCACTCATGCTATAAATTAAAAACATATATCATTGATAAAAAATATAGGTAAAAATAAAAACACACATGTAATATCCTACATTCAAATCTAATAATTAAATTCAACATGATTAAGTAGTTCAACTCAAGTTGAAATTCAACAAACATTACATCAAAACAAATATAAGCAGTTCAACAAGCATTACATCAAAATAAATATAAGTAGTTCAACATAAGTTCATTACTAATTAATCTTCATCTACATCATGAACACGTGATGCGCTTCCATCATCATTATCTTCATCATCATCCACTACAGCTATAAAACAATTTAAGTGTAAGCAATTAATATAATAAAATATCGAAGAAAAAAATCACAAATTATTGAGAGAAACTTTGATATTTGATGAATTACCAAAACTATTAAAGTTGTGAAGCCAATTGCGAGTACAAATCAATGATTTTACATTTTTCGGCAACAAGCGGCTTCTATATTTACTTAGAATGATTGAATCAATACTGAAAGCAGATTCAGATGTAACAGTAGTAATAGGGATGTCTAACAAATCACGAGCCAATAAAGATAACTCTTTAAATCTATTTCAATTCTCCTTCCACCATTGAAGAACATTCAAGTCATCAAAATTTTGATAACTTAAATTCACACTTGTCTCCTCCAAATAAATATCAAATTGAGACTTTCCGGTCTTTGTTGCAATTTGTTTGTGTACTTTCAAATCCTATTATAAAATAAAACATTATGCGGTTAGTCAATGAAATTCTAGAGGGAATATTAGTCAACTCTTTCTTAAGAGCTTATTTCTCTATCTTGAACATTTCATCAACATCAGCCTTAGCCGTATTTCTTGAAATATGAGAAAATTCAGGGTTCAAATATTTCATCAAATCCCTAATTTTTTGAAACTCCATAAACTTATACAGTAAATCATGTGCAATGATTGCAGCAACACCCATTGGCCTAAAAACCTTTTTATCTTTGTAAGATTCTTGAGTCTACCTTGCAAGTCGATCTTTACTTGACTTGCATGGGCATATTTGACTTTAGTGCACTTCTTCATATGACGATTCAAAGTCGTGGTACCATAATTCCTATTGTCGCCCTTCAAAATCTTTGAACAACCGTTGCACTTAGCCAATGGATTCCCATCTTTATCCACCCTAACTTTAGTAAACACTTTCCAACAATCGGCACTTGAAGTTTTGGCCTTCTTAGACTTAGGTAAAACATCATCTTCGATATTTCTTAATTCATTTTCATCTTGAATAATTTCATTCTCGAAATCAACCACATTCAAATTCATTTCATCTACAACTTCATTACCAACACTTTGTGAATCCATTTCAAGTTATCACTTATATATCCAAATAAAAACAACTTTAAATATATTCAATCATATTGAAAAGTTAACACATACAAGGAAAAGTTTACAACAACATAGAGACATGGTTAACTTATATGCTATAACAGTAGGTAAGAGATATAACAACTTTGATATAACTTATAATTTATCAACAACAAGAAGATACATAGAGAGACAAGCAAGAGATTGATAGAAAGAATTAGGTTTTAAAACTCAAACCCAAAAATAGAGACCAACAACAACAAGATACATAGAGAGACAAGCTGCAGAAGGTAAGAGATATAACAGTAGGTGATCTAACCTGATCAGACTTGGACCGTCACGGTTGGCTCTGAGCTGAAGTTTTGAACGAGGTGGAGGGGGTACCTACAAGGCACTCTGATGCTGAAGTAAGTAAGAGCACGAGCAGGCAATAGTATGAGTATGGGTAAGAGAGTGAATACCTGACCCTCTGGGAACAGAGGGTATTTATAGCCCCCAGCGCTGGGCCAAGATTCCTTCATTGGGTCGGGCAGGTTTGGCCCAATGGAGGAAATGTCAGGTTCTACGTGTGTAGTGGGGACCCGCATGTGGTCTCCTTCCTAGATGTTCTGCGTGAAGTACGGACGGACGAGGACGCGGTCTTTTCGGGATCCAGGTGATGGTGTAGTGGACAGAGTCTGCCCTAGGAGGAGTGCTCGAGGTGAGGTCGAGCAGGATAGCATGGAGTCGAGGATGTCGCACTAGCATAGAGTGTCGAGCGCGGCTGTGGCCTCTTTGGTCGGCGTGACCCCTTGCAAGACCGTTTGGATTGGGCCTTCACCATTGCTTTTGGGCCAGCCCGGTCCAGTCCAGAACAGGAGCCCCCCAAGTCGTGGTTCCTGGAGTAGGAGCCATGACTTGATCTTAGGTCGCCTCCGTCACGGGGTCCCGTTCCCGGCAAAGAGATGTAGTTCCCCGCGGCTTGCCCGAGGGGTTTTCCTCTGTGTCGGGCCCATGAGATAATTCCGTTCGAGGAGGGATCGGGGAATCTCGACGGCTGTGTTCGTTGAGCACATGAGGCATCTCTTGGGAACCGTGCCGCCACCCTACTGACGATAGGGCCATCGTTGACTAGGGGAGCTACACATCGAGGAGGGAAGTTATGTGGTTCCCCGGGGTGACGTTTCGTATTCCACGTCATCACTATAAATAGGGTCCTTGGGCCCCAGAACGTGTTTTTCCTCTTCGCGCCTCTCCTCTTTCCTCTGTTCTTGTTGTTGCTGTTCTTCCCAGATATTCATAGGAGTGCCGTGATCTCCGTCGCTGATTACAAGTAAGTGTCTCGTTCCCTTTGCTTTTCTTCTGTGATGCGTGACATCTTTCATTGTTTTTAGACGTTAGAGACTGCACGCTGGGGATTAGCCCCGATACATTTGTATTTAGCTCGACAAATCCATGTGTATGCCCGGCGAACGTATGTTTGCGCCCGATAAATGCATAGTTTAGGTATTTGGCTCGTAGTGCCGCCCGGGATCTTCATGATTCAGGGCGCCTAATTCTTGGTAGTGCCCGGTAAACTGATGGCCCTAGTTTTGAGACTCATGATGTCGCTCGCCACGTTCATAGCCTAGGTCGACATATTTGTGAGTGGTCGAGATGTTGGCCTATTTAGGCGATCTGTAGGGAGACTTGTCGTGGTATCTGGGAGTCGGGGAGGTGACTATGCTCTTTCTGTTCGAAACACCAACTTTGTGGTCGTGCATGGAGCGACGTGGTTTGTCGTGCCCTTCATCCCGTCGGTTATGGAGAGCGTGTGGTTTTGCTCCCAATTGATCGGTTTCCTGTGCTTTGTAGGTAACCATGGAGGACGAACCGTGTTCTTCAGGGCGCACCGAGGTGGAAGACCAAAGTGCTGATGAAAATGTGAATTTGGTTGATACCATAGAGGATCCTCTGCTGGAATAGGTGGGTGCCGAGCCCAGAGGGATAGCTTCGGCCTATAGTCGACGTAGTCGAAGTGCATACACCATCCTCGACAAGGGCAGTAGCCAGCCCGATTTCCAGAAGAACTTCGTCGTTACGCGACCAACTTTCACCGCACGGATCTGCTCGGAGTTCCCCGAGTATGGTTTCCCCATGTATGAAATTGCCTTCAAGGACCTTGGATTACAGCTGCCCTTCAGCGATTTTCAGGTCAGGGTCTTCATCCATCTGGAGCTGGCCCCGTCGCAGCTCCACCCAAATTCGCTCGCTTTCATCCAGGCGTTCGAGCTAACTTGTCGGTTTCTAAGGATTGGGGCGACCATACCCCTTTTCTTCAGAGTCTTCCACTTACAGCGCCAGTCCCGGGGAGGTAGGTATAGCTGGGTTTCCTTGAAGCAGTCGAAGAGACTGTTCAGAATGTACATGGATTCCGTCCGGGGCTTTAAAGACAAGTGGTACATTGTGAGGCCGGTTACCACAACGGGTTTAGAATCTGTATATGAGGAAGAAACAGTCGTGACCGAAGACCACGGGGAAGCCCTTCTAGACGATGAGGGACGCCCGGTGTTAGGGCGCGTGGCCAAATTTCCCTTGCATTGGACCTCGAGGCACTATGAGCATGGCACCGGGTACTATCACACGTCCGCGGGCGAGATGAGCCCCGAAGACGAGAAGGCTTATGGTACTCTCTATCGGTATGTCGACAGTTTCTTCCCCGACAGATGGGCCACGAGGGAGGGGAAGGATATTCTTGACGAAGAAGGTTATCCGACCTTCGAGGCCCGACCGATCGACACGAAGGCACTTGTGGAGTGCCAGTCCTTCGGGCAGGCCGCGAATCTGCTAGGTCGTTATTGTTTTGTCTTGTTTGAATTTCTTCACTTGTTACTTGTTTGCTTATTTGCTCGTCACTAACTCGGGGTTCTTTCATGCAGGTCTGATGGCCGGACGAAGGGAGAGGCTCTTGAAGTTGTCCTGTGACAAGAAGGTCAATAAGAGGGTGGTGAGAGCTCCTCAGGCGACGAGGATGGGTCCGCCAACTAGCCCGGGTACTTCTCAGGCGACGAGAACGGGCCCGCCGATTAGCCCGGGTGCTGCTTCGGGAGGATCCGCGGACGCTCAA